TAATATTCCCGGCTCTCTCATGGGAATAATGCAAAATACGGTGCTTTGCAAAGCACCGAAATCTTGATTTCAGAACACCGAAAGCTCTTTCTACTCAATTTCGAGCCTTTGCGTGTAGGGTGTTGAATGTCACTTCTTTTGCATTCGATGGCTCTGCCACTGGAGTTAGAAGCCATGGTTCCAGTGGGTAACCCTGGTCCCCTAACAACCAATTATCGCACTGGCTTCTATGTGTTCTTAGAAGATGAAGGCGTGTTGGGGATGTAGTCCAAATACCAGAGTCGTGGCAGGATCCAGGAAATCTTGCATTTATAGCCGTGAACAGCAAACGATGATCACATACCTATTGGGAAAGAAAATTGTATAATAATGTATCCGATTTCTTACAGAATTGTCATTGCTTTGAAATTNAACCTTTCCGGTTCATGTTCATGCATAGAGGGTTACTTGGGTCTGTTGATGATGGAGCGACTATGCCTATGTGCGTGCAGTCAACAGCACCTATCGTTCCCTTAATCTTAAATGCCGTATAAAAGCTGAAAGTAATGATATAACATAAATTTAATTTACCTTTTTTAAAAATTCTATTTATTACCCCTTTTTAACTTCCAAGACCTCATTTGAAGTTTTGGGGACCCTTATTTCGCCGCCCTTAACTTCCATTATTAGCGTTGAGATGTGATGAATGGCGCGCGACACCGACGGGTGGCTCATCGCAATTTGGAAGTTGTTTCCTGCACACTTCTGGTATGAACCATGCGCGTAGAAATACAGGCTCCCCAAAAATCTTATTAGAAAAGGGATGGCGGACTTCTGAGGGTCGCGTAGCTCCAATTAATGCATTAGTTCAATACAAAGTGATTTAGGAAGCGAAAATTTTGGATAAAAAACTATCTCCTGCATCGAAAACGGGTCGCTGTCGTCCCTGAGCTCCCTCAAAACTTGCTTCCTTTCAAGCTTTTGCTCGTCTTCCACAAGCACGGCTGCGCAAATAACTAAAATTTGTTCTGCCATTGAAATTATTTTATATTTTTTTCAGAAATTTATTAAATCGTCGCACTTTTTATGTCAACACAAACATATGTTTTTGCCTTGTCACCTGCCAAATAGGTCTTGACAATAAAAATGACAATTGGCATGATTCGAGTTTTGAATTTTGCTGCGAATACCAAAAAGCTGCAATTGTCATTTTTATATCAATTGTCATCGCGGTGAGTATTGTCAGTTTTTAAACGACATTTTTGCCAAAAACCGCAACACAAGCTTAACCTAAGTGGCTACTAAAAAATCAAAACTCAGGTGTGCACATATTTTCAATGTGTTTTCCGAATTCGGCGTTGCGCATTTTCTTCTCTTTTATATGGAAGAAAATAGCCAACTTACCCAACAGAAAGATGCCAAAAATCGGTGGTAAGTGCCACATACTTCAGTATTGGAATTTTCAATGGAACAAATGCAGTAGGGCTCCAAATCTCAAATAAAAAAAAATAAAA